TGTATCCTGTCTTTTACTAAGAATACCCTAATTCTCTAGTTATAAGATTTACTTAACCTCACTATAATTGGAATAGTTCTGCAAGAATATTTCTGTAAGACCTGCTTCTGTACACTTTCCAAAGCATCTTATCACGAAGAGTTATCCGTTGTAAAAATTCCTTTTTCTGATGTCATGTTATCATTTAACCTATAAATAAAGACACCAAAACCGACAGGACAGAGATGCCTGCCTGGTGATCAGAAAGGATCTCGGGGCTCTCTCACTCTCTCTCTCGCCGACACCGTCCGTCCTTCAGGGACCCCTGCACCTGCCGGAGCCGGCGCGGCCTGCAGCAGAACTCCTTCTGAAGAGGACCCTTCCTGTCTCTTCCGGTTTCTGGTGGCGCCGGGTGTTCCTCAGCTTGTCGCTTCATAATTTCAGCCTCTTCAGACTCTGTCTTCACATGGCTTCTCCTTTTGTCCCTATGTCTCTCCCTTGGGTGTCTCCTAAGGACACTTGTCACCATCACCCAGATAATACAAGATTATGTCCTCTTGAGAGCATTAGCTTAATTACATCTGCAAAGACCCTTTTGCCAAACAAGGTACATTTACAAGTTCTAGGGATTAGGATGTGGATATATCTTTCACGGGCCCGCCATTCAAGCCATGAAAAATGGTTCAGAGACTAACAGCGGGGAAATATCACATATCATTCATTTTAGTGGCACGTCAGATTCAGACAAGCACAAAACCAAGCCTGATATGTCAATGCCTTGGGAAGAGGAAGATAAAAACGTTCAGGAAAATGTGGAATTACAGAGACTGTTTCATAATCCAGTCACTGATTCCTGTCTTTTTAGAGTTACCATTAAGTTCTTCTGATTTTATACCTGTTGAAAACTTGAGTGGCTTATTGTCTTTTTCCACACCATGTTTTTCTAAAAAAAACAAAAACAAATAAATAAACAAACAAACAAAAACCAGAGTTACCTGTAGTTATCAATGAATTCATTTCCTAATAACTGAGTATGAATTGTTTCACATCTCAGTAGAAATCCTTTGGGGCATTACATATTTATCAGGTCATTAGATATTATTCAAACACAGAGATGAATGCACTTAACATATTTTGACTACTTCTTTTCACTTATCCAATCATCTGTCCTATTTTATTTTATTTTATTTTAAGTTTGTTTATTTATCTTGAGAAAGAGAGAGAGGAGAGGGGCAGAGGGAGAGAGAGCATCTTAAGCAGGCCACATGCTGAGCATGCCCCTTGCCTCAGGAGCAGTATCTTGAAAAAGCTTCTATGGCCGATGTCAGAGAAATTACTGGCTGTGTTCTCTTGTAGGACTTTTATGGTTTCAAGTCTCACAATTAAGTCCTTAATCCGTTTTGCATGTAATTTTGTGTATGGTGTTAAAAGTCATCCAGTTTCATTCTTTGGCATCTAGCTGAGGAAGAACTCATGAAATTATGTCCCTCTGGTTTTCATGCAAGTTCCGCATGCCTGGGGTGTCTGGTGTGGGGTCTGGTCCTCTCCCCTCTTCATACCTGTGGTGTCCTCCCTCCCACAGACAGTATCGAGGGTCTGTTTGGCTTCTGACCATGTCTCTGCTCTTCCTACCATCTTCAGTGTGGCCTCTTCTCTACATCTAGCTGGGGAGAGTCTACCAGTCTTTGGGTCATTTTCTGGGTTATTTAAACTGAGTGTATCTAGATGGATCTGTGGGATGAGTGAGTTTAACATACTCCTACTCTGCCATGTTCCCTGGAAGTCTCTATGAATTGTTGACTTAGAGAGAGAGGTAGAGAGAGAGAGAGAGAGAGAGAGAGAGAGAGAGACAGGTTGGAAAGAATAGGCACGGGATATCCCAAGGAAAAATTCTAAGGACTATCATTTACTTCAAACTGTTACTAGTGGATTTCTACATATAAATGTAATGAAGGTATTTCACTGTTGGAAATGTTGGAAAGAGAAATGAAATAGATTTAGAACAGTCTAAACAACAACTTAAATAATACCTATTTCAAAGAATCTTAGAATTCAGAAAGTACATTAAATATCAAGTCTAAACTCACTTTATACGCCTTATAGCAATTGAAATGGAGTGTTTTGCTCTATGCCATTTCTCTGGTTTTGATAGATATGGAATTTGAGGTTTCTCACATCATTCTATGGATTCCCACCATTTTTCTACCACTGTTAATACAACAAATGAAACCATTTCGACATTTTAAGAATATGTGAAAATTAATGCATCTTCAAAACTTAAGTTTATTCACCTTTATGGAAGACAAGTAGCATTTTAAAGCAGGAATTTGGGAGAGTGATTTGTTTTGACTTTTTTGGGTCCCTTTTTCTTTTTTTCTTTTTAAAAGTGTTTATTTATTTTTGAGAGAGAGAGTGTGTGTAAGCAGGGTAGGGGCAGAGAGAGAGGGAGACATAGAATCCAAAGCAGGCTCCAGTCTCTGAGCTGTCAGCACAGAGCCTGACCCGGGGCTCCAATTCACGAACTGTGAGATCATGACCTGAGCCAAAGTCAGACACTTAACTGACTGACCCACCCAGGCTCTCCTTTTTTGGTCCCTTTTTCAACTGGTGACTATTAATCAGAATTCTCCAGGGAAACAGAACCATCAAGATACATCTATATCGATATTCATATTCTGTATGTCAGTATGTATCCCTATATTGAGAGATGGAAGGATTTGTTTTAAGACATTGGTTCACATGGTTATGGAGGCTAAAAAGTCCCATGATTTGCCATCTGCCAGCTGGAGGCCCGAGAAAGCTGGTGGTATAGTTTCAGTCCAAGTCCAAAGGTCTGAGAATCAGGGATGTTATGATGTTAAGTTCAGTCCCAGTGCAAAGGTCCAAGAACCAGGGAGATGATGCTGTCAGCTCCAGTCTAAGTGCAGGAAAAGACCAAAGTCTGTTTCACCGATGAGGTTTCCTCTACCTTTCTGTTCTAGTAAGGTCCTCAATGCTTTGGATGAGGCCCACCTCGACTGGGGAGGAAAATCTGCTTGACACGGTCTGCAGACTCAGCTGCTAAGCTCCTCTGGAAACAGTGACATGTGTGTGCCCAGAAATAATGTTGAACCAAATACTTGGGCACCCTATAATGCAGTCAAGTTGGCGCATAAAATTAACCCTCACGGTGATGCTAAACAAAACGCTTAGCTTTTTGAGCCTCAAGCACTTTGTCTGCAAAATGGGAGAGTTACTATCCATTCTGCAGGGCTATCTTAAGGCTTAAAAAAGATACACTTAAGAGATCAGCCCTATTTTGCACATAATGGCTAATTAATGCCAGTTCCTTTTCCTCCCTGTCTTTGTATTGCTAATAAAAAGATCCAGTTCCATCATTTGATAAGCCTTTTGTTAGGGGTCGAATTTTGTTTTCCCAGACCGCCCCCCCTAAAAAATCATATGTTGACGTCCTAAATCCTAGTACCTTATAACGTAACCATATTCAGAGATAGGCTTATAAGAGGTATTCACATTAAAAGGGGATGATTAGAGGGCAGCCCTAATCTGTTAGGAAAGGTAAGCTTGTAAAAAGGGAAATATTCTGACACCAAGAAACACACAGGGAGAAAGCTGTGAGAAGACTGAAGTTGTACCGTCACATGCCAAGCAAATACCAGGAACTAGGAGAGGGTTCTGGAACTGATCCTCTCCTGGTGTCTTCAGAGCAAGCATCGCTTTGTCAACACCTTGGTCTTGGACTTCCAGTCTCCAGAGCTGTGAAACAACAAATTTTTGTTTGTTTAGGCAGCTCAGTTTGTGGCACTTTGTTACTGCAGCCCTAAGAAATTATGCACCTAATATACCTAAGAAACTAATAGATTGATTGAACAGATAGGTAGATGGGTGGACAGATGGATGGATGGATGGAGGGAGGGAGATATAGATAGATGATAGATAGATAGATGATAAAGGAGGAACAATTTCTATCTTTGTATATATGTCTATGTCTTTATCTCTATTATCTATATCTGTCTTGCTTTTTAAGCAACAATAATAGGGGCATTTGGGGGACTCACTTAGTTAAGTTTCTGACTCTTGATTTTGACTAAGGTTTTGATCTCACAGTTCATGAGTTCGAGCCCTACATTGAGCTCTACACTGACAGCATGGAGCTTGGGATTTTCTCTCTTTTCCCTCTCTCTTTCTCTGAAAGTAAATGAACAAACTTAAAAAAAGGAAACATAATAATCTAAAATCTCCCCTATTTTAGCAAAAAACTTGCTACAAACATCATTTTAATAAAACTGTCATGTCATACTCTGCCATGTGTTTGTATTTACTATGATTTGCCAACCATAATGTGTTGTTAGGCATTTGACGCCCCTCCCTCTTTTTGCCACATTTTCTCAAATAAAACATTGCCTGCATTTTAGAACATCTCCTTAAAGTAGTGTACCAGAAAGGCAATTACTAGGCCAAAGGCTATAAACATTTCTAATATTCTTGGTACTTATTGCCAAATTGCATTGCAGAAAAGCTGTTGTTCTTTTCTTTGGGGTTTAATCTCAAGACAATTCTTTTTAACAAGAGAAGGAAATAAGGTCATGAAGGGCAGTGGGAGCCCTAGCATTCAACTGCCACAAGCAGGTAATGAATATTTCCTTAAGAAGTAACTCAAAGCCCTGCATGGTGCTTCCATAACATGCAGGTAATTCAAGCAATCTCTGACTCAATCCATCTGGAACCCAACATATAAGAGTAACGTGGGGTATTAAATTGTCAGCTCATGTACTGAGCGGAAGACATCTCTATCCTCTCTGCTCTCTGGGTTGTTTCTACTGACCTGCACACAAGTGTTTAGCTCAGAGATAATTTTCAGTAAACTGTTGTCACTTGAAAATAAACAGTCTGGATAATGTACAGTCCATTTGGAGTACTGAGAAAATAAACAACCTAGGATATGCTTTCTTCTCGTCTTTGTAGCCCTTTTTGGAATGTGTTCCAGATACACGACTTTCTTCCCCAAAGCAGAAGTTTTATTTAAAATAAAGTTGCTTGTTTGGCACTTCTGGGCAATCCGTGTTTGAAGAACTACAGCCATGAGTGGCTTTGGAGCCCTACTTCGAAGAAACCAGTTCATCCTTCTGATGCTTTTTCTTTTGCAAATTCAGGGTCTGGGTCTGGACATGGAGAGTCGACCTACCACTGAAGCCTGTGCCACACACACTATTGCACCAGGACCCAAAGGTGAGGAAAAAAAAAACCAAAATGTTCATATATAATAAGCAAACTCTGTTTTCTCCTCCCTCAACCCTACTGGAGCCCTCAATGACTTTCTCTTCTCCCTATTCCTCCTCATATTCCTCCTTCTCTCCTTCTATTTTGCAAACCCAATGGCCTGTGGTTTATTTAAAAACCTCCCTTGATGTTAGGCAGGAGAATGTGGGGAGAGGGCAGGGGAAAAGTCCCTCCCCTGTGCTGCTCCAGGGGAAGATACACAAGCCACAGCTTTGGTCTTTCAGGGATACTTTCCTGAATTCCATCTCTATTCCTGGGCTGCTCTATTCCAATGCCTTTCTCAGTGCTGATTTTGGTAAAGCTACCAAGAAAAGCTCAGTAAAGAGAAAATTAAATCTTTCATATATCTCATAAATTAGTGGGGTTCTGGCTTCCAAAGAAGAGGAAAATTTTTGTTGAGGATTGCAGGTGGTGTATAAATGAACATTTCTTTATTGAAAGTGGAGTCTTTGGGGCCAAGTGCCTTTAACAGAAGGATGATAAGACTACTGCAAAATTTTTTCAAGTAGAGCCAAGGTCTAAATGTGCTTCAAGCAACTGGTTGATAAAAAATGCTGCTGTTTTCCTGGTTTCAGTTCTGACCCTTTTGTTCTGAAAGTGGTCACTGCAGTGCAAATCGGTGCTCCCTTATTAGTAATTCATGCTATGTTTCTCCAGGCTATAGGGTGGAAGAATTGTAGCTGCTTAAAATTTTAAGTAGAAAAAAAGGGCCTTTTAGAAAAAACAGAAATACATCGCCTTATGCTCGTCAGTTATTTAAATGCGTATTGCTTAAAGTGCATTTTTCTTAATCAGTGAATTAATTTCCTCCTAAGATTGCAATCCAAGCTTTAACCTTTGATACCATAAAATAAATGCAGGGAAGAACAATGAGACCTTGGGGCTTCCAAATAATTTCTTGGGTGAATAAATGAATAATGTGAGGGCAAATGTTCAAAAAAGAAAGTTTTGATTAGAAATAAAAGTATTTACTTAAAACTATTAGTGGACTTTCCAACAGAGTATAACAAATTTTTTGTCATTCCTGGGGTATCATGGAAAATGCTGAAAATTAAAGTTTTCTTTGTTCCTGCAAATGGGAGAGTGCATTTGAGAAGAGCACTGTTAAACAATTTTCCTTGCAGAGAAACTAAAACTTTCAAGCTATTAGAAGAATGGACAAAACACTGTCAAAATAACATCCAAAATATAATGCATTCCAATTCAATAATTCTGTTTATTCCAATCAGCCAACACATATTGAATACCTCTTAGTTCTAAGCATTATTTTAGGCATAATAGATGCATTCAATAACATACATCAGTATCTTGAACAATAGAGAAAAAAGTTAGGAGGGAAGGAGGGCAATTAATATTTATTAGATACCAGCAGCCTATTTGCCATGGTCTTCCTACCCTCATTTCTTAATGAAAAATTTCCCCTTCCCCCTGGAAACCTTGCTAAGATTTTTATTTATTTCTAGGAGAGAGAGAGAGAGACAGCGTGAGCAGGGGAGGGTCAGAGAGAGAGGGAGATACAGACTCTGAAATTGGCTCCAGGCTCTGAGCTGGCAGTCAGCACAGAGCCCGATGCGGGGCTCGAACCCACGAACCGCGAGATCGTGACCTAAGNTGGTCAAATGATGATAGTAGGGTCAGCGACTCTGAGGGTCTTTGCGTCTTTTTCTCATGGTAGTGAGATGGGCTGCTGCCATTGCAGGCATCACCTCCTCAATCAAGGCAGGAGGAAGGGAGTGGCATGGAGGTGTTTGCCTTTTTATTTTATTTTTTTTATTTTATTTTATTTTTTTATTTCTAGGAGAGAGAGAGACAGCGTGAGCAGGGGAGGGTCAGAGAGAGATAGAGTCACAGACTGAAACAGGCTCCAGGCTCTGGGCTGGCAGTCAGCACAGAGCCCGACGCGGGGCTCGAACCCACGAACCGCGAGATCATGACCTAAGCGAAAGTCGGACGCTTAACCGACTAAGCCACCCAGGCGCCCCAACCTTGCTAAGATTTAAAACAACGTAAATCTCCTTCACTCTCTTCCTGACCCTGTGTAGAAATTATGAGATGATTATGAGCCAGAAATACGACAGAATGAAGAAGTCAGTCCTTCTGGGAGGAGAGACTTGGGAGGGAGCCCTCTGGAACCCCGGGTTCCAGAACCAAGTCTGTTAGGCACCTGGTATGATACCTTCTTCTTCCCTCAGGTCCTGGGGACTTTGCATTAAAATGAATTCTAAGTCCCTTCTTATAGAAGAGATTCTACAATTCTGGAATGTACTGACTACCTACAACACCTCAGGCCTCCTGTTAGATACTACAGGTTTCAAATGAAAGTACTTGTCCCAGAACATGTCTACATTTCAAGCTGAGCATCAGATTGCAAACTCTTGGACTTAGGGTTCAATTAATTCATTTTCTCTTTGCAATTGCCTGTATTCACGCACGTGGAGCAACGTATACATGTTCATCACCGCCTTTCTACACTCTAGGCACTGTGCTAGATGCTACGCTTACAGCGAGAAACAAGACTTAGTTTTTGTCTTCTCTCAAGATAGAAACTGCCATCTACCCTACTCCAGTCCTTCGTGCACAAGAGCATAGCTCCTCCCCTCCCAACAAGGTAGACTTGCATATTTATTTCTACAAAATAAGAAAGGAAGGAAGGACGAAAGAAAGGGAGAAAAAAGAGAAAGAAAAAGAACAAAGCTGGATAGATAAAGAATCATTTCAAAGGACTGAATTACTGCTTCTGTTCAAAACATTTTTCCTAACAGCAAGCTGGTCTATATTTTTCTCCAAGGCTAATCATGTCAATACCGTAGTTACTAGCACTGCGCACAGAAACTTCTAGATATTCTAGATAGTCTAGAAACATTAAAAGGAGTTTTCCCTAAATTAATTTGGGAGACTGGGAACTAAATACATAATTTAGAGTTGCGGGTGGAAAACCAGTAATGCTAATGTGTCATATAATATGTTTTCCAACATACACTGACCCTTTTTTACTGCATTATTTGCCAAGCATGACTTGGTGGGAAGAAAGACATTGAATTCAATCTGATCTTCCGTATGTTTTTACACCTATTTAGGCTTTAGTTTCTTTATTTGTAAACTGAGCTTCATCAGAGAACTGTTTGAAGAATAATGTAAGATAATCACTGTAAACTTTAAGCCATGTAGGCATCATAAATAGATAATTAAACTCTACTTAACTTTCCTTCCTCTCCCTGTTTATCTGTCTTTTGAGTAACAATTTTGGGAATAAGCATTGTTCCAATTATCAAAACTTCTTTGTCGAAAGCCATCTTTATTTTTCTTTCTATGCCTTAACTTTATTATTTTATACTGTTCAGTAGGAAAATGTTCTCTTTCCTACCTAGGGTGTTTCTTTAAACAATTTGTGTAAAATTCTGACCTCTAGTGGTTTTAGTTGAAAACAGCAGGGGTGGTAAATTTTAACAAGAAATGTTAAAAAGAAATTTAAAACCAACAAATATTTGAGTGATGATTCACAATTTCCAAAGTATTTTCAAGTAGATTATCTTGTTTAATTTTCGCAATTTCCCTATGTGGTAGCAACTACTTTAAACTTAAAGATAAGGACATAATCTGAATGAGGCCAAGGGGAACTCTCAAACTCTTTCATGCACTTACAGAACAGATATGCAATTTAAACGTTAGCTCCGGGCCTCTGGCTCTGGATCCACTGCCATTCCATGACATCCGCTTGTTTCTATTAGAGTCAGGTTTGAAAGTATATTCCACTGGCCCCTGTGTGGTAAGAAATGGATGCAAGAATGTCTAAGAACAACAGAGTGTCCATTCAACATCACAGCTCAGCATTGTACCGGTATATGCTGAAATTATGATATACCTCCTCTCTGATGATCAACTCCATTACTTTATTAGTTTGTTTGGAAATTAAAGGTATTTTACCTAATTGCTTATGTTGGCTTCCATTAGATTTTGTGTTTAGGAGCTTTTCGTTTTTCAATGACTTTTGTATGTGTGGCCTAAAAATTCCTTTGCAATCTATCTGGCTTCTCCCTACTTCTCCCACATGAAACTGCTTTTTCACTTGTAGTCTGTTTCAGGCATCCTTGCTCTGTCTTTCATTCTTAATCCAGGACCTTTGTACTCAGTGTTCCCCTCTTTCTGGCCCAACCTCACCTCAGCCCAGATTTCCCCAAAGATAGTTCCTTCTTCTCATTTAGGTTTTAGCTCAAATGCCATTTGCAAAGGAGGTACCTGATACCCCTCATTTTCTGGTCCTCGCAATTGGCACAGCTTGAGTTATTTCAGGAGTCTTCTTGGTCTCCAGTGCAAATAAGCCTTCTTGTGACTTCCCCAGACAGATGGCCAAATATGCCCAGGAATGTCAGGCTCACTTTCACAGCCAAATCGGAAGCCTCACTACCTTTAATGTAACTATCAGAGGTAATTCGGTGTAGTCCCAAATTACAAATTTTACATCTGTTAAAGCCAAAACCCAGAGAGGTAAAATAACCTGTTCTAGGTCACACAGTGGTTAATTGGTTGGTAGAGGCTAGAACTGGAATTCCTGTTCCAATCACCAGGCTGGTCATTGTTCTGTTCTACCATGTTACAGCATCATCCTCACAGTCTGTCATTCTCATTAAGTATGAAATGATCCTTCCCTTAGTTTTATAACATTAGAAAGGGAGTTCTGTGAGGTCAGTGTATAAACATGGTACAGAATTGTTTTAGCTCGGTCACCTTGATACAAATTAAGTTGCTAATTTCTTTCTGGTGACTTTATCAGAGAGGTTAAGCAAGTGGGTATTTTCCCAAGACCTTTATATTAACTGCACTAATTCACTAGATTCTTTCATTGAGAGCTTTAATATGCATTTTATGCATAAAGACAAAGCAAAATTTTAAGTGGTTTGGCCAGGGTATTCTGGACAATTTTTCCTCTCCTTTTCCCTTTGAAGAGATTC